GGAAGTAGGGCAGGTGGCAGCGTTGATGCATCTCCCATTAGTACATTAGGGAACACGGGAGTGTGGTAGGAGCCATTGGCATTCAGCACCGGGAGGAATGGGTACATGGGGTTAATATGCCTTCCGGATGCTGCCTGACTTGGGGCACCAAGATGGCCGCCACCAGAAGGAGGCGGAAGTACACTGGGCTGGGCAGGAAGTGACATGAAAGGTATACCAAGATGGCCACCACCGGATGTAGTGTTATAGGGGTGGGCGTGGTTAAGCCACCAGGGACGGTAGTCGTCATAATGACCTGGGAGGGAGGAGCCACGGATGATGGGGCGTTAGACGAAGGGTGCGGTTTGGAATAGTTGTCTGTCCAGGTGCCGCCATGATAGGGCGGTGACTCAAACACATTATCAGCTCTGTGATACACATACATAATTTCATCGTTTTGTTTAACTGTTTCTTCTACCCATCCCTCTTTGTGCAGAGCCTTTGCTCTACGAAACCAGGCTTCAGCTATTTTCATCAAACCCTTATCATTTAACTTCCCTCGATGTTCCCTTATCAAGGTGCGCCAGAACTCTGGCTGGAGACGGACAATATCATGTTTCAAGTTACATACTTTTGCCAACTTCTGTAATTTCCTCACTGCGTCAGCCCCCTCCCTCTCTTCCACAATCTCGGAGGGCAACATCCCTTTTTCTGGTTTACTCGGCTTCTGTCCCATCTCTGAAATTTCCCAGCTGGTATCCTGACCTCAACACCCTGTCTGGTTCCTCTTTGGCTGATGCAGCGGTGGGTGTTGACGGGCAGTGGGGACACCTGGCAGGCTCGTAGCTCTCCGCTATGGCGGCTTGCTCTATTTCAAAGAGGGTTTTCCCGAAACTCGCTCTCACTGGGTAGTGGACATTAACCCTTAGCACCAAGATGTCAGGAATCGCTGGGACAACAGGCTGATGGCCAAGTTTATGTGGGGGGCATACCCCCCTTCTACTACTTTCACTAATCCCCAATTTGTTTCATCCACAGTGAACATTAACCCACAAACACATTTAGGACATGACATTACAGCGCGGAACTGAACCACTGGCTGACTGACTAAGTTCACCTCGGGGGGACCGACACGTCGGCCCGGATTTCCGTCCATAGATGCCCATTACAGGGTTCCTCTTTCTTGGGGCATAACAGCGTGGAACTGAACCACTGGCTGACCGACTAAGATCGCTTCAGGGGGACCGACACATCACCCCGGATTTCCGTCCGTAGGCGCCCACTACAGGGTTCCTTCTTTCTCGGGGCATACAGCTCACCGAGATGAGGACGACCCCTTAGCCAATTCTTTTAGCTCGGCTCAGCCTCGGTCCAGAGCCGCAAAACACCTCAAGCCAGGATCAGCATCCTGTAGCAACTTCTTTTAGCTCGGCTCAGCCTCGGTCCAGAGCCGCAAAACACACAAACAAATAACACACACAGCCAGCAGAAATCTCTTATGCAGGTTCTTAGCAAAACAGCCCTGGGCAAGGAAAAGTTTACCTGCCTTTTGCCGTCCTTGAACAGCCAAGTGGATGTGACAGTGGATCAGACAGAAACAAGTAGTACAGTGGTAAGATATTGAAATATGCCTGCCGTACTTTCAGGGTTGCGCAAGCCCCCTTGGTCTGTCTGGTCCTCAGCCCCGCCCGCGTGTCACGGCTGCTCTTGGATCGGAACCCAGGGCCCCACGATTTTGGGCGCCAGCTGAAATGGATCTGAACCACAACTGGGTTCACACAAGATGTCTGCTGCTGTTTCTAATTATGTTGTGTTCGGTGCACCGGAGAAATCACAAACTCAGAATTAACGGTCTATGAAAGTTCTAATTTTATTCAGGGCGGTCTCTCTCCTTTATACACAGATAACAGGAGAGTGTTCGTCACACATATGCCCACATCTGTTATCTCTAAATGTCTTGTACTATTGGGCAAACTAGAGGAGCTGTTAGTTAAAGTCTTGTGTCTTGGTTAGTCAAAGATATCTTCTGCCTGTAGCATCCTCCCTTGGCATTCCTTTCATGCATCCTCGGCAAGCTACCGAATACAGGATATATCTCTTGGTTACGCATAGCAACGCTAAAAAACTGAGTAAGGAAAGTCACAAAGCTAGGAAGCAAATGAAACAAATTCAAAACAATTCAAAACATAGAAAAGGACATTTTCTTGATATGATCCATATTCCTTCACACCATCGCTGGCTGTTTACATTCAAAGCCGATTTCCCGTTCGTGCGCGCGGCCTAGCAGCGGGCGGGGCGGGTTAGGACATTTAAAAACGCCCACCCGCATTCCGTCCGCTGTCCGGCCGTTTAATTACAACGGCCGGACAGCAGGTGGTTAATTATTTAATTCATA